AAGGAAGAAATTCATGTTAACAGTGGTATAGCTTTGAGGGAAGGAGTCTGAGATGATACATTTTTTTGAATGGTATTATCCACCAAAAGGAAAGTTATATTGTAACAATTTACTCCATTCAGATACTTGGAGGGCAGCAAACTGAAGTACTAGTCTGAGCAACACGAACTCTAGGTACCCCACTGCATGTTAGTCAACAAACAAATCAACTGCCAAAAACCAAGAGAACAACCTGTTGTTGGGAGTGAGATAAGCAGAGGTTCAGATAAGCACAAGATTACCTTTCTACTTTAGCTCAAGGATTTCATATTCACTGCCAGACTTTTTCCTGCAGGGTAAACTGAATAGGCATGGAACTACAGCTCTGGATTAAAAAAAAATCCCACACCAGCATAGAACCTGTACACATTAGCACAGTCCTTGTATATGCTGAAAGCACTCCCATGTTAAAAAACATCCTTCTCTAAATTATCATGCCCCATATTCTCAGCTGCTCTTTCAACCAGAAAACACTATTAAATACGTATCATGTGACAGGGTTATAGATATTGAGAATGGTAAAAAGAGAGATTTTCCTTCTCCTCGTGATTGACTAGTGGGGAGGATGACAAAATACTGGTAGATTAAAAATTAGGATATTCTAGGTATTACAAATGAAAGGACAGGGTACTTGGACAGGTAATAGCAGGAGGTCTCTTAGATGAGGAGAACCTGGAAGGTCTCTCTGACAATGTGATAGTTAAGCAGGACTACAAAAGAGTGCAGTCATCTGGAAAGTGGATGTGTGCCGGATTACATGTTGCAAGTAACTAAGAACATATTGAATCACCTGAAAATCCTGTGAGGAAGTTTATGTGGTGGTAAAAGCACCCTAAGAAATTTTAAAGTTTTTATTTGGCTTTAATCCCTGAGTTTTGGGATTTTGGCAGGAGAATCACTTTATAATTAATTCTGAATCCCTGAATGGCAACTAGAAAGAAAGATACAAAGGATTTACTGTCCTGGGACAGGTGAACCATTTCTTCTAACAGAGAGGAACCTGGAAAATCTAAAACAGTAGACGCAGAGATGAATGCTGCGTGGATTTCACTTACAGCTAAAATTAATAGTCAGTGTGATAAGAATAAGCTACAATAAACAGCATGGCTTGCCAATGTTACCAATTGTTTAGGGAACGAGAAGTGTTCCTCTCATTTAGTCTCTGCAAGCCTAGTACTTGACCTAGCACATGTGTAGGTAGGGAGGGACTGCTTTACCACTGTCGGCCTCCTCCCCGCAGGCCATCTTTCTTTTCACCCTATTCATTGCTCCTGAGAGTAGTGGGGTCACAGAACCTTTGCTCTGCACTATTAATCACATACATGTGTACGTTCTTCCCTCTTTCAGCTCTTGAGTCCAGGGGTTGAGGCTGGTTCATCCCTGTCACCACAGAGTCCAGCACAGAATCTGGCAAACAGTATTTAATAAATATTTGATGACTTAAAAATGACTGGCCTGGATCCTTCAAATGCCAATGTTTTATCATAGAAGATACAAAGACACTGATAGACTGTTCCATATAAAGAAAGCAAAAGTAGGGCCTGGTATTTACTCAGCAGCATAAGCACCTGCTTGGCAAGCGTGAGGTTGTGAGTTTAATCCCCAGTACAAAAAAGAGGGAAGCAAAAGAGACAGGACAATAAAATGCTGCAGTTCATTCTTTATTGGATCCCAAACTATGAAAAAATAAAACATCTACAAAGGACATTACTGGGTCAGTTGGGGGAAACTAATATGGATTGTGTATCTTATTTATGTTAGTATTTTATTTATATTGTTGTTTTGAGTATTTTTAATGTTAAGTTTCTTGAGCACATCTTGGAAGATATTTACAAAAGTATTTAAGGATAAAGTCTCTTTTGAAGTTAACTCAGATGGATTAACAAACAAGAAAGTATATATTCATATATATCTATTGGTATATGTATATGCATAGTATTCCCCTCTGGCCCCCTAAGGCTGAACTCAGGACCTTGCACATGCTAGGCAAGTGCTCTACCACTACATCCCCAACCCTTGCAATTATTTTTAAAATTCTGAGACAGGATCTCCTGTATTGCCCAGGTTGATTTTGAATTTGTGATCCTCCTGCCTTAATTTCCAGAGTAGGTAAAATTACAAGTGTGTGTTGCCACATTTGCCATATATTCTGTACAGTGCTACTTTGGTTCATGAACTTCATGTGTTTTATGATTTTGGAAAAGATGGCCTTTTTCAGGTTTGTGTGGGAAAGATGGCTGCAGTTGTGTTTGCCACCTGATGTTGCATCTGTAAACAAAAATGAAATTTGGCAAATGCTTCTGTTCACAAACCAAATTGCTTGTTAATAAAAGTGTTTGTGAACTGAGGTGCCACTGTATTACATATACAAATATATGCATATACACTTAAAGAAAAAGACAAAGTAAATATTTTTTAAAATGAAGTGGAAATTAAGGTGTAAAGTACATGATTTAACAATATATCTTTGCAAATTTTCTGCTGGTCTGAAAGTTTTCAAAATAAAACAGTAAAAAATATAATAGTTTTTCAACTTAGATAAGAAAGCTTTATGGGATACAAAATCTACCTGTGGCATAAGCGCCTGCCTGGCAAGTGTGAGGTCATAAGTTCGATCCCTGTTACCGCATCTATCTGATGGTTACCTGACATATTGGAAGTACATGGTCAGCTGGGCCAAGACCACAGGGGTACGTTAGAGTCTCTTACCACAGGGATAGGATAGCAGGAGGGAAGGGGGCTCCAGTAAACTTTATGCAGTCCAGAGAACAAAGATGGTATCTACAGATGTCATACTAGTTTAAATGTACAGCCAGGAAGATAGGCAGGAGAAATAAATAACAGAATAAAAGGGAAACCCAAAAGAAAGTTCTTGAACAGATCAAGCTCTTTGTCAAAAGTTTAGGCAAGTAATCAGAAAAATGCACATACTCATAAAAGAGAAAAGCCAAAATAAATGCTCAGCATGGTAGGCAGGTAGGAGAGAGGATACAAAGCACAGAAGAATCAGAAATACAGAGAGGGCCCTGGCTTGTCTGGAAAATGCTCATTTAGGAAAGCAAACAGAAACCAAAATGGGAGTAAACAATGTGATGAGAACTTGATACGAGAAAATGAGCTTAGAGAGCAGGGGAGGATGAAGAATTATCTCAGTTTGCTTGAAAATGGGGGTAGGAAAAGGTGGCAGCCAATGACAAAAAGTAATAACCTATTTCTCTGTGAAGTCTGGCTGAAGCTTGTTCCTCTTATCTGGTAGCTCTGAGAAATATGAACTGCAAAAGAATTCCTAGGAAAGGTCTTGTTCCAGTCTCAAACTACCTTTATGATTACAGGCCTACAACATATATATCCCAACCAGTCTAAGTGCCACTGCCAGGGTATCTTTTGCAGTTCTTAATTTAATGATAGTATTCTGATTAAGAATTCTGGGTTCCAAGTTTTTGAGTTTTTTGAGCAGTGACATTCATAGATATGCCACCCCTTCACAGGCAACCTTGCTTTTAGAATCTCAGACAGGCCAACTTTCATACTGATACACAGCTCAGAGTTCCTGAATGCTAATAGCTGGGGATAATCTAACAGCTCACCTTTGGCTGTACCTACTCCACCATGCCAGTGTGATATTCTAACTACAGCCCTAACTACCTTTTTCTGTTCTCAGATTCTAATGCTGAAAGAAAGCAATCCATAGCAGGCTGGGTAAAAAGTTTCCTCCATAGGAAAGAACCAGCTGGGGGCACAGATATAGCTGCAGTGACCAGGCAGTCTGGCCCTCACAGAAGTATCTGGAATTCAGGCATTTCCCACCCTCCCTTTTTGTCTTTTTGAGACAGGGTCTCACTATGCATTTCAGGTTGGCCTTGAGCTCACTATGTAGCCCAGGCTGGCCTTGAACTCCCAGCCATCCTCCTGCCTCAGCCTCCCAAATGCTGGGATTACAAGCGTGTGCCATTACACGTGTTTTTCTGGCCCCCTTGCAAGTAACATAAGCATTTGGATGCAGAAGAATAGATGGGGCACAGGGAAGGGGGACTGGGAGAGTAATTTTTCCAAGCACATTCTCCACAAGTAGCAGTTGAACTGGAAGCACATCTTTTAAGACTATGATAAAGAGAGAGTAGGGAATGCAGCATGGAACATGACTTGTGTAAGGAAAAGGATCAAAGAGTTCCTTTCAGACTATGCTCTCCCATGGGCCCATATTTACAGCAACTTTTCTCTGCTCTTTTGCTTAGGTCACAGTCCACAGATCTCTTTTAAGGGCATCCTCCCTCTCAACAGAGACCTACCTCGCTGCAGTTAGAGTCGAGCTTTCTTTTTCTCCCTCTGCTCTGTGTCCTGCACTCCAGATCAAAGATGCTGAGTTCCATCCACTCTTCAGTCTTTCTCAGAAGTGCTTAGTCATTGACTGGCCACGTGGCATTTGCTTTCATATTGTGGGTCTGGTATGTTAACTAAGAGAGTTATTTTCCAGCCTATTTAGAAACAGCAAGAACTTGAATTGACTTGCTAGACTGGCAGTGCCAGAAGAGTTAGGGCCATGTGCCAAAGCAAAGAATGGATAGCTGTTCACTGGGGGGCAGATTTCTCAGTCTCGACCCTGAGACTAAATGTTCCTGCTGGCAAAGGAGCGCTTTGTTGGGCCTTTGCTGCCAGATTCACACTAGGAAATGTATTGTGACTTCAGGGTGGCTCCACAGGCTGTTTCACTTTCAAAAGGGGAATCATAAGCCAAATTTTTCTAGGGAAAAGGATCCAGAAGAAAGAAGAATAATTTTAGAGAAAGAAGGAAAAAAATCCAGAAGGCAGTGAAGATGATGAGACCAAAAAGTCCCACATGATGCAAAGGTAAACAAAATGAGATTTCTAGAGAGTAGACACCAGGCTAGCAGGCGTGGGCCCTTGTGGGTACTACTGCCAGCCCTGCCCCCCTTGAGCCCATGCCCCATCCCAGTTCCTACCTGGTAGATACCTGTTGTGGTTGTGGCCGTATTCTGTGGCAGAGAGTGATAAGTGAGTCTGTGTAAAGGGCTGGTTGCCAAACAGATTGTCACTATGAAGGTTGTGGCAGAGCTTCTCCAGGAAGCGGAGGACGTAGCTGATGCTGTTTACTGCTGGGAGGTTGAGAGTGTGCTGTTCCCGGTCAAACACGGCTGTGGAGTTAGGTAAACAGAGCCATGCACGTCAGCTGGGCAGTGCAGGGCAGCACAGTACAGGGCCAGAGGAGCCCAGCCTACTGCTTGTCTCAGGCTTACTAGGTTACACAAAGGCAGTTAGTGCCCAGGCTGCTTCCCTCCCTCCCTCCTTTTCCTCCCTCCCTCTTCCCCTCCCTTCCTCCCTTGAGGGCTTTGATTTTTGCCTCCTACCAGAAAGTGCATGCAATAATGGGAGTGGCTACACCAAGTCTTTTGCAGCTGCAGGGCTCAGAATGATTTCACTCAACTTGTGAAAACAACTGTGAACATAATTCTATCTGCTCCATCATTGGAAGGGACTCCTCCAGGAAATCTGTTCGTTTAGGGTGCCATTTTCACATGAACTTCCCAAGAACAGAGAAGCTGAACAGGAGAGGGTAACACAGCTATTGCCAGCAATAGTTTGGGTACACAATTTTCAAACTACAGAAGGACACCAGAGTTTTGGCAATGTTTAGCATTATTTTATGCTTGGTTTTATTATACTCCTTATTTCTATTAAAACATCAGCATAATTTTTTAGAGGCAAAATGCCTGATCTTTGTCTTGGAGGGAGTCAGGAAATGGAGATTTAGGGAGATAGGTTACTCTTAGGAACCAGTTTGGGGTCAGAAGAGGAGCTTTAGTGGGGCAAAAGTAAAAGCAGCTAAAGAAGAGGTAAATAAGGCCTGTTCTTGCAAAATGCTTTATAGAAGCAAAGGACCACTAGAGAGTACCCTGGAAACTCTCTATCTCAAGGGATGCATAAACTTAATTTGCCAGCAGTTCCTAGCCTTCTAGGATAATTCCCTCAGTGTCTGCTCCTATCCTCCACATAGCCGATTATTCAAGTCTGGGCTCCCATACATTCCTCAATTCTAACAGTTGTTGCCCTTAGCTGTTTAGATTTTTTTTAACCTGTGTAGACCTGAGCCTGTCATCTTCTCTTCTTTCCCTTTCCCACCAGTGTCAGGTAATAACCTCTGACATATGGTCAGGGCTTAATAAACGTTCATTAAAAGAATCATTCGATGATTTATGGAGTGTTCCATGTCACCTAAGTTTCTTAAAGCTAGTTATGGCAAGTTGTTAGGGAGGTGGGCAGGGAAATATAGACTAGCATTATTGTTAAGATTGGAAGACCATAGGTTAAGCCTTAATAGGTTTGGTGGGTAAGGAAAAGAATTTTAGACTTAAGGGCATAGAATCAAAATTGAGTATTCTCAATGAGAGCCCAAAACAATGTACTATTGAATGAAACTGTCAGCAGGAAAGAAAGAAAAACATTCTTCCCCTTCTACCCTGAGATTCAGAACACTTGTAGAGGGTCTGGCTTAGGCCAGAGAAGCTACAGCATAAAAAGAAAAAGTTAGGGGTTTCCTAAATCTGGTGGGGAAGGCATGGCAGTCTGAAGAAATTCTCTTGTACAGTACAGCCCCTTTCAATTCTTCCTCCTAGAATGCCTTAAAACCTTATACTCGTACATTTTCTGAATGGGAGAGTTAAGTAAGAAGACAGGAGAGAAATCTGTTTAGAACCTCAGGCAGAGTCTACTGATGGTATTCTTGGTGATGATATGCACAAGACTCAGAAGAGCTTGGGAGTTGGAAATGAGTGCTACTTTGAGGAACAGAATACTTTCATATTTCTCTAGAGCCTGTAAGTGTGAATTCTGATAGGATGCCTTGTCAGAAATCAGTCAACTGAGAAGGCCTGCCCCTCTGGGTAGGAGGTCATACTAGCCCAACGGTGCTCACCTGAGATGACCTCACCACCATAGCCCTGTTTGAGGAAGCTGAAGACAGTTTTCTGGTGGTAAGCACAGTCGATGCAAGCTTGGACTGCTTGCTGCAGCACCACAGAGGCACGGGCTGGCCCAAAGTGATCAGGGAGCTGCTGGACCTTCTTTTTATCCAAGTGGGGGCCTGTGCTGCCACTCTTGTTCAAGTAGATACAGACTACAGGAGACAAAGAATCCAAGAAACTTACAGGATATCTGGTGCAAGAAAGTCAGAGAACAATATTATAACAACATCCTGGGGTCTGGTCCCTATCAGGATTCCCAGTAGCTAAGCTGGTAAAAGGGTAGGGGCCCTGAAAAGGCTATACCCAGCTGCTATCAGCCCAAACTACATGACCAAAGGCTCTGGGAATACAGCCTACTTGGAAAACAGCCTAGATCAAGAGCTAAGTATGTAATTGGCATCTTTTGTACTCTGAAAAGAAAATCTAAATAATTTTTGAGGTATATACACTTTCATTTTCTGTACTTGGTTGCCTCTTACATTCTTTGTGCTTCATGCCTTATTTATATATAAGGAGTTATAGGGCCATGGGAGTATTAGCTTGTGAGTATGTTGGCATTGGATATAGAATTGTCATGCCACTGATCACTTGTTTGAATTTCTGTTCTTAGTCTAAGAGTTCCTTTGTTATTTTCTACATAACATTCAGTTCCAAAGAAAGTAATAAAAAGGAAAGAAAAATGGAACAAAATCAAAAAGGCCCTGTAGGTCCTACATATATATTTGCTTATTTCAGCAGTCCTCCTGTCAAGGCAGCTGGGCACTCTCCTGGTTGCTGCCCTGCACCTGGCATTGGAGTGGAGGATAACAGAAACTGAGGCTGTCCTAAATGAGGCTACTTCCTTGGGCTCTGGGAAGGATCCACGGCAGCCTTTTCAGAAGTGGCATTTTCTCCTCTGATCACTTCCAAGGCTCCTATCCAGTAGATTGTATTATTCTCACACTCACTGAAGATGTAGGAAGGCAAAAGTCTCCTCTGTTACTAAAGACAGAAAGGACACTGCATCTTTCTTGTGTCAGGTCCATCATCTGTGAGAGGTGGACGTTGAGCTAGATAGATGCTCTCTGAGCAATTGTCATCTTCACAGTTCTAATATAAGGTGAAGTGATATGGAGAGAAGAAAATGGAAAATTCAAAGTAAGTAGGCTGGGGGCTGGGGATTTAGCTCAGCGGCATAAGCGTCTGCCTTGCAAGCAGGCAGTCGTGAGTTCGATCCCTGGTACCGGAAAAAAAAAAAAAAAAAAAAAAGAAAAAGACCAAAGTAAGTAGGCTGGATGGGGAAAGTAACAAGAGAAAACAAAAAGAATAAAAGCAAATGAGATGAACTCAATGTACATATTTAACTGTGTTCTCGCCTGAAACTTTCTAAGATGAGCAAGATAATAACAGAAGCCAACAATAAAATTTTGGAAGCTGGAAAGCAAACTGGAAAAGTAGTAACTGCCTTAGCAGACTCAAGAAAGCAGAGTGGCAAATGATGAGAATCAAGCGGTTTCATTGCCTAATTCTTAAAAAGCCTGAGCATCAGCAGAAAAGATGTTTCTGGAGGCAAATGTGAAAGTTAATCTAATAAAAGGACTGGTTGAAATCCATTAAGAAAAATACGATTTCCATGACTGTTAATATGACTCTTCTACTTTTTTTTTTTCTTGAGACAGGGTCTTGTTTTGTAGTGTGAACTCCCCATATGGCCTTGAATGTAGGTGGCCCTGAATACATGGCAATCCTCCTGCCTCAGCCTCCTGAGTGCTGGAATTAGTGATCCTTCTACTGAAACCATGAAAAACACAGGAACTCAGAAAGTCATAAAAATGGGTTAACAAATGGCTAGGAAAAAATACTTTTAACATATGTAGCAGTATATTTATAACCCTAAATTAGAACTAGCCAAATGCCTGTCAACAAGAATATAGATCCACAAATTGTGGTATAGTTGTTTACTAGGATATGACTTGCCAAAAAAATGAACAACTAACATATACCAATAATATATGTGCTTCTCAGGACATTATTTTGTATGAAAGAAACTATAAACAAGGGTACATAACAGTGTGACTCATTTTTGTTACATTTAGGAACAGGAAAATTTAATCTCTGGTGGCAGAAATAAGAATCAAGGTGGAGGCACAGACTATGAGGAGGAGGTCTGTGGGGCTGGCTTCCAGTTTGCTTTCCAGCTTCCAGCTAGCAGAAAACCCCTTGGTTGGGGTAACTATGCAGGTGCTGACATTTATTAAAATTTATAAAACAGTACACTTAAAATTTGTATGTTTTGAGCTGGGCATGATGGCATACACTTGTAATCCCAGAAACCAAGAGGTTGAGACAGAAGGATCATTGAGTTTGAGACCGGCCTGGCTATATTGTGAGTTCAATACCAGTTCGAAATATGTCATGAAACTGTCTTGAAACAACAACAAACAAACAAAAAACAAAAAAAAGAGAAAGACTTCTGTTTTACAATGTAAACTCTACCTCAGTCAAAATACATAGAAAGTAAAAAAGTATAAGTATTCTGGTGATGATTAAAATTACTCTACATAGATTAAACGATGAAATATGAAAGGCAAACTCTATAACATTTAGAAGATTTTCAGTTTTAAAACATGACCCCCAAACTCTTTGCCATCCCTTCTGATCTCTGTTATACTTAACCAATAGTATAAAGGTCACCATCCTAGTTTCTTGTCCCAGGGATTAAGAAATTGGCAGCTTCCATTTTCTGTTCCTGGGCACATTTGCTCCCACACTCTAAGCAATGTAGCAATGTAGTCTAGTGAGAGATCTCTATGGAGAAAAACTAACAGCAGAACTGACATGTCAGCCACGTGGTAAAAATGGGCCTTCAGTCTTTGTCAAGCCACCCAGCAGACACTGTATGCCACAGAGAGAAACTTCTCCACCAAGCCCTGTCTTAGTGTTGTTCTAAAATATGAAGTTTTTTGGTGGTTTGTTACACAGTAGAAGATTATTAGAACAGATTCTGCACATGGAATTGGCTTTAAAACTGAGCAGCAAAAAGCAGTAGACAGGGCCACAAGTCAGTGAAAATTAAAAGAGCTTTGTGGAGAGTTTTGTTTCATATTCTTTTTTTGGAATCAAGGATTAAACTCAAGGCCCTCACTCTGGACTGTAACCCCATTTATTCATCCATTATTTTGAGACATGGTCTTGCTAAGTTGCCCAGTCTAGTCTAGGCTCAAACTTGCAATTTTCCTGCCTCAGCATTCCTGAGTGCTAGGATTACTAGTAAATGCCATCATGCTTGGCTGAAGAGAGCTTTAATGGAAGCCTAAAAGTTCCCCAGAAGACTGTCAGTGAGGGTTTAAAGGAAAGTGAGTAAGATATTATTGGAAGATGGAAGACAGGGGGTGTTTGTTAGGAAGTGACTTGAAGCTTGACAAGTTTAAAGTGACATGCAAACAGGAAAGTACCAAATAGCTAAGCTTTCCAAAGTAAGAAAAGTGTCACCTGTCTTCTCATTGCTTATGATGAAATGTAAGATGAGAGGTAAGCTTTAAAAATGTACACAGACATACACATCCAAGATTTTCAGTGTTTAGGAACCAACTTGCTTCTCATTTCTAGATCCCCCAGAAGGCAAACGACTTTCAAATTAAGAAAGGGCCAAATATCAGTTCCAGAATGAGATAATACTATTTTTTACTACGATAACAAGAAGATCTAAGAATATGCTTCATGGTCTCTTTCAGATCATTCTCTAGAAATGTTAAGGACAAAGATTATAGATTCTTTCCTTTAAACAGAAGAATTTGTAACAATTTAAGGATATGGCCCTACAGCTGTAGGTGCACAGGAGGTCCAGAGCAGAAAAGGGTATTGGGAGCCGTTGAAACTGGAAATTGAACACGTGTGCAGGGCTGTGTGTTGGCGGGGGCATGGCCAACCTGAGAACCAAGAGACACCTCTAAGGGCAAGATAAGTTCACAACTGAGGACACCTGGCCCCAACTCCAGTTAACTAAATAAAGACTGTAGCTACAGGCATTTCATTCCTGTAGTGAAAATCAACATGGAGACCGTCTCCTAAGATACTTCTCCTAAATTAACATAAGATAGTTCTCCTAAAGTAAACATAATCTGTTACTTGGAAAAGTGCTTGAACCACTCCCAAGGTCTGTTCAGTTTCCTGAGTTTTCTATTCTAACCTCTTTCTTGTTTGAAACTAAATATATACTGGCCATCCAGAGACATTCCTTGTCTTAGCCCCCAGAGTCTCAATCCCTGCAGAGGTTTCATCCTCCCGAAGCCCTAAAATCATACCACTTGTCTCATTTATTTTAAGCCTTTGCCACCCGTACACTCCTTTGGGAGATTGGGGATCTTGGCCAGGTCTCTGATGAATGGGCTTATCTTTTAGAGATCTGTGGTTGTAGCTTTTGTGTCACAAAGAGAATCCCAATGGTGTTCAGAGAAAACAGACTACTGAGACTTCTTCTGGTGAAAGCATTGCCAGTATGGATTAGAAAGTTTAACAAAGGTAGTCATGGGGCTGTTCTTATCTCCTTGCTGCTAGATTATGTTCCTTCACTCACTTGGACCTGAGTAATACCCAGGGCTAACTCTTGTCCTAAGGCTTACTACATGGAAGCAGAGATAAGAAGAGCAAGACTCCCAAGTCTGCTTTAGAAACTTCAAAAATTCCAAACAGGATGCATGTGCACCAGACTTGCTTCTATGACTTGCAGTAACTTTCTTCACTTGGAGCTCACTGAAGGTTCATGCACATGAACTGCATCTCATACACTCAATGATAACAGGATGAATTATGGGAAATGATATATGTAATCGATGTAGGTGATGTGACTCAGTATCCTGTCAATCATGTCAATCATGCTCTGGAAGACCCCAATGGGAGGTACCCAGAACTTGCACAAGCATTTTAAACTCCTATACCTTATGCCATCAGAACTTGTGCTATTTTCTTCTTGTTAGCTAATTCTCTTAGTGTGCTATTACCTTCATAAGCTGTCCTGATTTTTCTTTACTATCATGTGCCATGTTCAATTCTTTGCTCATTGTGCACAAGAACCTAGGAACGTATCCTAGACCCCATCACCCACGCTAACAGGATTAGAGATGGTACAAAAACAGAAAGAATTCTTTGGATCTCTAGCCATTTATAGGCAAGA